GTTTGCAAAATTTTATTTAATTGAAACAAAATACATAATAGCCTTAAGAACTACCAATTAGTCTTTATAGAATAATATCAAAGTTAGTGAAAGCACCTGGAAAAAATATAAAACCATAAATCTTAAAAATTATAAGCAGAGCAACTTCCATAATTTCATCAACATCATCTGGGAGACATTTATCTGATATGAGAAAATAAATAAAATTCTACTAAATGCATGATTTTAATGTTTCCAGAATTCATGTAGTATTAAAAGGAGTAATTATAAAAATGAGAGAAACTAACTTTCGGCAACGAGGTGGAAAAAGAAGGGAATTAGGATTCAGGGGACCTGGATTCAAACCCCACTTAATTATCCTGAGCTATAGCAATCTCTCTCAGGGACTTTAACAGCCTGCCTCATGGGACTGATTATTTTTTAAACCAAAGTTAAAATTACTCTAAAAACTACAAAGATTAAAATGCTGTTATGCTAAATATCTCACAAATATTTATGTGTATAAAAACGGTGAATTACAGGTTTTTTTGTCTATATTTTTAAAAAGTCAGGCAATGATGAAGACTCAGTAATAAAAAATTCAAAGAAGTAGCTGAAAGAGTAGGGGATTTCTCCCTGAGAGAGAGAGAGAGAGAGAGAGAGAGAGAGAGAGAGAGAAGAACAAAAATATGAGACTAAGAGAATCAGTTCCAGCAGTCCAAATCTGGCCAACAGGAGTTCTTCCCAAAAGAGCAGAAAGACAGACGGGACAGATAATAGACGCTTTCAGTGATGATGCACATGATGGACCAGATTTCACACCTTTACTACCACACACACACACACACACACACACACACACACTTCACACCTTTTACTACACCACACACACACTTTAATTTATTGACTACCACACACACACACACACACACACACACACACACGGACCAGATTTCACACCTTTACTACAGATTTCACACCTTTACTACACCACACAAACACACTCTCTCTCTCTCTCTCTCTCTCTCTCTCTCTTTAATTTATTGACTCCAAAGATATCAGCACTAAACATCTTTAACTTACTACTCCACAGGAAACAGAACAGAGGAACACAACCAATGACAGCACAGTGACGCAGTTAGGAAAATGCAGGCTGAGGAAAGATACAAGACACGCTACCTGGGCTTTAAATAGTAAACTGTAAGGGGAAAAAGGAAGATAGAGAAGGAACCTGCAGGCTAAAAAAGATTTAAGAGACATATCTACAAGTTGCAATGTGTAGACTTTATTTGGATCCTGATACAAACACTATTAAGAAAAAGAGAGAGAAAAATACATGACATGACTAAGGAAACTTGAACACTTATTGGGTACTTCCTGTTATTAAGGAATTACTGTTAATATTTTTAGGTATGAAAATGGTACCACAATTTTTTCTTTCTTTTTTTAATGAGTCCTTATCTTTCAGAGAAATATACTGTAATATTTATAATTGGTATGTCTTTGCCTAGGACTGGGGAATCTGTTTCTAATCTCACTCACCTGGTTGATCACAAAAGGCAATAAACCGTAGGGATGCTCCCATCATGTCAGCTAGCTTACCCTAGAGCCAAAGATCCAAGAGACAGTAAGAGACCAAACTGGAAACCACAGGGTATTTTATAACCTAATCCTGAAAGTGACACTCATCACTTGTACTGTGTTCTACTGGTTACACAGACCAACCCTAATACAACATAGGAAGAGACTACGCAGAGGTATCATTACCAGGAGATGGAGAATGTTGGAGGACATCTCAGTGTAATACAAAGCTGTTACAAATTGTTGAAGCAATGTGGTGAAAACATGAGGGTTCATTATACTATTTTCTCTATTTTTGTATGCATTTGATATTTTCCATAGTAAGATTTTTTTTTAAAAAAGGATATCGGCACAGAGATGGAGCAAGAAGGTATAAAAAGGCTACTCGAAGGTAGGAGTAACTTTGTGCCCCCTTCTCTCCCACAAGCAGCTCAGTCCCACAAAGGCCCAATGGTTGGCCAGAAGGACTGTGGATGAGCAGTTTGCATGAAACAGAATTTTTTCAAGTGTGAGGAGTCCTCACCAAACCCAAAACTCAGTGCACAAGCATAGGTATCACACCATTTAAACACGGTTCTTTACATCATGAAATTGTTCACTGCACAAAAACTGGTGACTTCTAATATACTTAAAAGCTATTAATTAATAAAAGTATCTTCTAGAGACAAGTAAAAGATTTAAAATAAATGCTCATAAAATGTGTTGAGAGTGGTTATATGCTCAGAGGAATTACTAAAATTATAAAAAATAACTAAGAAAAAATAATAGTTGAGGCTCTTTTTAACATAGACATTATTAAAATTTTAACTGTAGACGTCCCTGAAGATTCTAGCTTTCTTCAGTAATTCCTAAATTGTTCAGGAAGGTATACACAGCTTGCAAAATCTAAGATTACAATGAAGCTTCTTTTGCCTGATATGCCCTCAACCAATTTGCTGAAAAGATACTCTCCATCCCCTCAGTTTAATTTTTACCTGCACAATATTCAATGGTTATCTTATTATGACTCATTCACAGCTCTGCCGTGCAGTAAGCTATGATTATTATTTTTATTCTTCCTTTCTCTGAACAACTTTCAAAAGCTTTCCCTGGAGTTAATGATTATCTAAGTTTTTTCCTTGCTATGGTCTTCTATGTAGTAATTCAATCCCAAACTCTCCATCAGTTGTCCCAATCTCTTCTAAAGACATTCAGCTCTACTATATACAATGTCAACATCTCAAAGCTCTACTGGAGTGTGTTTTCTGCCCTGCTCCTGTCTGGGCTGGCTGCCTCTCTGCCTGCACAACTCTCACCCAGGGCTCTCCCTCCACCATCGTCCAGGGACTCCCAACGTTTCTCACACTATGAGATCTCACACTCTCTCTCCACTCTCTCTCCCCTCTTCCACATCCTGTGTCCTCCTTTCCTTTGGTTTACATCATCATGTGGTACAGCATACTCCAGTAAGTTCCCGAGCAAAGATGTGTGGCAGTTCAATGATTTGAGACCTTTAATTTCCAAAAAAGTCCTTAATTAACCTGTGCATTTGACTGTAACTTTAAGAGGATATAAAGTTCTAGGTTGGAAAATATTTTCCTTTAGAATTTTGCTCCTTTTGTTTCCAGAGCTGCTGCTAAGTTTGAAGACAATCTGATTAACAACCCTTTGATTGTGACCTGCTTTCTTCTCTAGAGAAACCTATAGTTTCTCTAAGTTACAGGTCTTTTGAGTAGGAGGGTCTCCAGTGTTCTAAAATTCACAATGTTTTCATCTATTGTCCTGAAAACATCATGGGCTCTTTCAACCTGAAAACCTGGATAGTCCACTTCTGGAAAATTTTGTGGATAGATCTTCTCCTCCCCACCCATTTTTTTGTTGTTGTTGTCCTCTTTGAGACTCCTATTAATCAAGTATTAGTCTTCCTTGATTGCCACTTCAATTTCATTTACTTTTACTATTGCCCATAATTTTGCTTCTTTGGCCTATCTTCATGAAAGATTTCCTCCCAATTTGCTACTGAGTTTTTGCTGCTGCTGCTTCTTTAAGTTTCCAAAAGCTCAGGTTGCTTCTCTCAGTGTATCCTGTTTAATAGTATCCCATTCTTGTTTTATGGTTGTAATATGTTTTCCAGTATCATTGGGATTATTAGTTATTTCTCTTTTCCCTGAATAATCTTTGATTCCTTCAAGTGCTGTTTCTGTTTGCTTTAAACGACACTTTTCATTTTTGAGGGTTTCCTGTGATGTCTAGTATTCTTGGTTATCAGATTGTTATAAAGATAGAAGAGCAAAAAGTTGAATATAAGCTCTGAACATATGAGTGAGGCTTACTAACTGACTTTTTACCAAGGTGGTTTGGCTGTGCCATAAACTGTAGAATCTCTGATATTGGTGTCTGTATATTTTTTTCTCTAGGGCTCAATTCTGTTGAGAAAGATCCTCTAATCTCTTGCCTAGATGGGAAGGCATGGATCTGGCACTAATGGGAACAGCAGTTAGGGGTCTCAGCAATGTTCACTTAACCCACCAGTGTTTTCTACAGTTCCTTCGCTTTTAACTGTGCCCGTTGTCCTCTAGTCCAGATACTTTGTATCACCTTCTTCATATGGAGAAATATATTGCTGGTAAAAGTGTGAACTGGTACAACTGGTTATCTTGGAAAAATGTTTGGCAGTATGTGCTAAAGCTATACAAACATGTAACTCCCTTCTTTCCCCCAACATATACCAAATAGAAATGCAGCTTAAGTCCTTCTGTATTAACTCCCCTAATACATACCAAAAGAGATGCACAAAAAAGTCACAACAGCTTAATTCATAATAGTCAAAAAGTGGGAGCAACCCAAATATCTATCAATATTCAAATAAACCTCTGATATATGCAATAACATGGATTTCAAAGACACAAAAGAATATATACTGTATGGATCCATTTATAAAAATGTTCAAAAAAGGACAAAGCTCATTTACGGTTAGAAAGATCAAAACAAAGGCTACCTTTTGGGTGGGAATACTGACTGAGAAGAAACAAGAGAACTTTGAGGGGTGATGGAAATGTTCTGTATCTTGATTTGGATGATAGGTATATACATATGTAAAAATTTAGTAATCTGTACTTATAACTGTATACTTCACTATTTTAAGTTACAGAAAACTTAAAAGAATCTTTTTAAAAAAGTTGATATGAATGTTTTGGTAATAATAATGAAATTTAAAACCTCCTACCTCTTATTAAGATAAATAATTATTTTCCAAAGCCTGAAATACATAGTCCTAATGGTCCATAGTAACTTGAGGTATTATTTTATCACCATTTAATTCTTTTTAAGTGGGGTGAGTAGTAAATTAGTAATATAACATTCACTTCAGGAACAGTTAACACTAATCTGCAATTTATTAGGAATTCAGAACATACTTTTCATTTAAATTAAATACTATTAGGACCACACTAAGTACTTACCCTTCTAACCTAACATCTGGTAAAGATCTGTTGAGTGCAATCATCTCACTTGCCATTAAATTGAACTGATTGATTTTAAACATTTCTTTCATCTTTTCTTGGTCTTCTTTAGGAATGACAACTGGTTTCCCCATTTCTCCAGGACCTTCGTGAGGCTTCTGTACTGGCTCTGGAACTGAAAATAAGGGGAAAACTTAACTAACAATTTTATAGCAGTCAATTCGTGCTTCTGTTTAATAACACATGAGTTTAAACCTTGCCCTCAACAACGAGAGCCATTTCTGAGCCCATCCTTTCCCAGCCTCTAACACCTCCTAGGAGCTACCTTGTCCTCCACTTCACCTCAGTGTCATGACTTAAGATCTTCTCACCTTGCACCATTCACCTGGATCACTGCCTTGCCTTGGTACATCCATCTCAAATACTGTTACCACATTAACCTCCCTAAAAGCACAGGCTTCCTTGTGTTATTTGCATGGTTTCCAAAAGTCTAATCTCTTCAATTTGAAATTTAACCTAACTTGCCAAACAAACCATCTGCTGTGCTAGGCTCTCTACACCCCTTTCCCCATACTCCATCCTCAGTCAAATAGCAACTTGCTACTTTCCCCCAAATATGTCTCATGTTTTCTTGCTTTGATGCCTTGGCTCACAGAGGTTCCCTCCCTTGGCATCTCCTTCCGACTCCCTGCTCTGCAATACCAAACACCAATTTATCTTTCAAGGCCCAGCTAAGATGGTTTCTCTTTACTACAACCTTCCTAAATCTGTCCATTTACTACTCTTGACTAACACATCATTTCATCTAGGGTTCTTACGTCTCTAATCAATGGCTACTTTTTTTGAGAGTATATTTATTAAAGCTGGGGACCGTGAAATAAGGAATGGCTTAGGATAGAAGCAGAAGAAGGAGAAAGCCTAGGCAGGCTACTTTGGCTCTCTAGGAATGTCTCAGGAAAGAAAGGAACCATGTGGGGCTGCTGCCAGCTCACTGACAAGAAAATGGGGGGCTTGGAGACAGGTTCAGGGGTGCCAACCTGAGATGGGCTGCCACTGTCTGCTCCCTTCCTGGTTGCAAGCCTCATGTGGACCCTGAGAGTTTAGGGGAGAAAATAAAGATGCATGTCTGAGAGGGAAGAAAGGCGTGGGCGTGCTCGCAAGAGGGAGAGAACCCAATTGCTATTTCTTACCATGATTGCTAAATTTGTCATATTATATTCTCCATTAGGTTATGATTTCTTTTTAGCTGAGGTTTATGTACCTTCTTTGGAGTTTAGCATAGTGTCTTATATGAGTTTTATAACTATATGCTGATCTAATATGTAACAGCGCTATTGAAAATAAGTAGAAATGAACTCCTAGAATTGCTAACAGTGGACATTACAATAAGCATCATGCAAGGTGGAGCATCATGAAAGCCAGTTCTAATCAGAAATAATGTTATACCTTGATATATACATAAAGAGTAGTATTCCAGATCAGCAATCCTTAATCTTTTTCTTTGTTATATGCTTTTGAGATGCTAAATACATTCCAAGAAGGACAGGTTCTAGGTTGTACTAAATTGGGATAAAAGTGTGTTAAACTTCCCATCTAGAAGGGACGGATATACTATGAGGTGAGGACAATAATGGAAAGAAAATAGGTTTGGGACGTTACCTTTTTTTTTTTAACTGAAAGTTTTATTTTCCTATAGTTTTTCTCTAGGCATCTCTCAAAAATCTCTAGACAAAAATGGAGACATCAAGGCAATAAACAATCACCTCTCCTCAGCCAGGCTTCATCTGCCCAAGCACAGCACTCACTGGTAAAGCCAACCTATAGGAAGACTATTTCACATGGTGGTACAAAGCAACCTACCAACACGAAGCTGCAGCATGTGAAATTACTCACTGTGTCTTTAACAACTCTGTCTAGAATATAAAAATCTGTCTTAGAGAACCATCAAGAAAAATATGGTATATAATAATTTTCCCCATTCTTGGAATAAACTGAGGGACATGAAAATATTAGGAAATAACTTTAAAAATTTATAGAAAATTCACATAATACAGTTTTTAAAAACAAATTCTGCCTAATGTTTGCCCAGCAAGTAAGCTCTTTAAATATGAGTTGACAGAATTATAAAAGAATTCTCAATGACAAGTATAATAAAAATTATAATTCAAGTAACAGAAGTTACTTATATAATGCCCATATAAACTTTTAAAAGTTTGAAAATTATAAAACTCTCAGAATCAATTCTACTTACTTATATGTCTCTGAAAGTAAAGAGCAATCAACAGATTTGGGGACTGGGATGCTGAGGGGTCGACAGAAAGCAGCAGAGTTCTGTAAGTGACACTTATCTTCTGTGCACAGCACAGGTAACAGGAGGGTGGGAGACACCGAGTGGCCCTGATTCTATATACCCTTCAGTTATCTGTGTCCTGCTTTAGCATAAGATGGTGCTTTAAAGAAAAGTTAAAATGGAAACATTATCATGCTGCTCAGTTTTGGAGGATTAAGTTACATAGAACATCATCTATAATCTATTTCTCCCGGGGGAAGGAGGGGAGATCTTGAACCTGATCAAGGCTCTGAACCCACCTACAAACTCACAGGACATATAGGACACAGAAGGACATGATTAAAAACAAAAAACAAAAAACAGTGAAGGGATGCAAATCCTGACAGTGGGAAACTGGAAAAGAGGACCCAATTTCTTTAACAATAACCAAGGGTGGGGGGAGGGGCACAAAGAGAAAGACATATCCATGTATTCATGCCACAAGACTAGCCCCGAGTAGACAAATGTTGAAGCCAAATAGTGGGTATATGAGAATTACATTTTCTATATTTTTCTACTTTTGTTTGTTTTGAAATTTTCCATGGGATTAGGGGAGCACAAGGGAGGACTCATGAAATTGTTACTATAAGAACTTAGTAAGTATAAATGTTATTGCTCACTGCATAAAAAACTGTATGACCAGAAAGTTAAAATCTTGCCCCATCATTGTAAAGTAAAAAACTCTGGCCTTGAGATCATAATTCAGGCAAAACATATACAATGCTGCTACTTCAATATTTTACAAATTTGATCTGGTACTATTTAAGAAACTGAAATATCTAATACAGTGACCACATTGTATACTTTAACCTATTGGTACACATGAGATTTCACAGCCATATTTAAAACTGTAATTAATCAAGACTACTGTATGACTTATAGAATCTACACAAAATCTACCAGAATACTCTAATTTAGAAATTATAATATCCTGAAAAATTAAATGGACTAGTCAACTACTTTTCTTTGGCAAAGAGGCCAGGATAAAATGTGTGTGGTTAGTGAATATTTTTATTATTAATGCACTTTCAATATTAAAAAGCAACTAACAAAAAAGATGGTAAGCATTAACTTTCCATGTATTCTACATACCAGTGTTTTATGTAAATTAAAAGTGAGTTCAGTGAAATTTTTGTTTGAAAGTAACTAAAATGGGGTTTGGATGTCATCAATTTCCTGAACTAAAAAGACACTTTTTTGAAAAAATGCTTTAAAAAGTTTTATTTATTTTTAGAGAGAAGGTAAAGGAGGGAGAGAAACATCAATGTGTGGTTGCCTCTTGCACATCCCCAACTGGGGACCCAGCCCACAACCCAAGCATGTACCCTGACTGGGAACTGAACTGGGGACCTTTTTGTTTCACAGGCCAGCACTCAATCCACTGAGTCACACCAGGCAGGGCAAAATTTTTTTCTTCACATAAAATTTTACACACAGATCATTTCTAAAAATCAAATGAACTTTGACAGGGAGTGATGGAAGTGTTATTTCAAGGTATTATGTGAGAACAATTATATTTTATACTTCAGTTAAACTTCATTTACATGACAATGTAGAGATGTTTCCTGTTTTAGAAAACTTAATTACCAAGAAAACGACAGGTTCCCTCTGTATGACAACAAATAACTAACGTATACAAACCACATGAAATACTTTCGAATATACTTTAATGAATCTTAAAAATTACTAATTTATATTCTATGGAAGTAGAATAAAGAGGTATAAAATTATACAATGCTCTTTTAGAGAAAAAAATACCAATAAAAGGCTATAATCATTTCTCCCATTTTCTTACCTTATTACACAACTATCATCTTTACTGTTTTTATGCACTGTTTTGCCTCTTCCAAAACGTTTTTCCTTTTACTATTTTTAAATATTTTAATATCTGATTGGGATGTGGATTATGATGGAATTTTTTTTTTAGTGGTATATAAAATAAGAAGTATATATAAACAAAGATATGGAAAATATGATATAACACAGCAAATTACCTGATTAAAAAAACCCCAGAATATTATATGTAACAAACGTATTTTCTGCTACCTCAATATCCTTATTAGTTTCAACCCTCACTCCCATTTTATGTTCAATTTATTCATAATGTATGTGGTATATAAAACTCTAAATGTAAAAAATTTGTAATAGAGTTTCTGAAAGTATTTACTAATAATATTTGTTTTTAATCCTAAATTTCTTCTATAAACTATGTTCTCATAGGTTTTCTAATGTTTGACAGTTAAAATAATTCTAGCATATGCACATGAAAACCTGATTCATTAACATTTTAATGGTTGAAAATCAAGTATAGTACTGGCATAAAGGAGCAATTTCTACTTGAAATTGCATCTGTGAAAATACTGAATATTCTATACAACATCCAAATCCATTAATTAAATGAATGTGCTAATTCTGGAAAGCAGAAGAGTGGCAAAAATATTTCTAAGACATAATCCACACTACTCTTGTTTTTTCAAGGGAACCACAATCTAATTCTCTAGCAATAGAATACATGTATAAAACTATGAGAGAGAACTACTCAGAAAAACAAAAGAACAACCTTTCTATAATCACACTGGCCTGCTGTAGTGCTTGAAGGAGGCAAGGAACAAGCGAATATAAAAATCCTAGAAAATTGTTAAGTATATTAATAACTATCTTATAAGAGGCCTTTAGCATTATCATAAGGATAATCAATTTATTGGGTTGGCCAAAAAGTTTGTTTTTTCCACATAGGATGGCTCTAATAGCACTTAGTTGTCTAACTTTACTTGATACAATTTTGTTAGATTGTATTGTGACAGCTGTCATATCAGCGTGCATTTAAAAAAAAATTGTTTTTAAAGATTTTGTTTTTAGAGAGGGGAAGGGAGGGAGAAAGTGAGGGAGAGAAACATCAATGTGCGGTTGCATTTCGCACGCCCCCTACTGGGGACCTGGCCTGCAACTCAGACAAGTGCCCTAGACTGGAAATCAAACCAGAGACCCTTTGGTTCTCAGGCCGACACTCAATCCACTGAGCCACACGAGCCAGGGCTCAGTATGCATTTAAGAAAAACTTATCAAATTGGTGAATTTTTGTGTAGCATTTTAATATTGAAGGTAGAAGAAAACATGCAATGTTTTTGGGATATTATGCTTTATTATTTCAAGAAAGGTAAAGATGCAACTGAAATGTAAAAAAAGATTTGTACACTGGATGGAGAAGGTGCTGTGACTTATCAAACATGTCAAAAGTGGTTTGAGAAGTTTCATGTTGGAGATTTCTCACTGGACAATACTCCACAGTTGGACAGACCAGTTGAAGTTGACAGTGAACAAATCGAGACATTAATTGAGAACAATCAACGTTATACCACGCGGGAGATAGCCAACACCTAAATATCCAAATCTGTATTAAGTTATTGGTGGAAATGAAAAATGTAAAACATTTTTGGCCATCCCAATACTTAAAAATAGAACACCTTATTCACAATATACAGAACATACTGGGTAAATTATACCAAATTAACACTAAAACAGTTCAAAGAATGTTCAGAAATGAGATTCTTACCGTACTGAAACAATTACTCTGGAGTGTTATATCTGTTCATTTTTTTTTCTTTTTGATTTTGTTTTGTTTGGCTTTTCAAATGCCATGAAAAAATGAAGATCCTGGAGACCTTACATATTGTATCAAAAGAGACCTACATTCATTCTTCTAGGTCAATGAGTGTACTTGCTAATTCCACTAAGGTCCAAATCCTTATTTCCATTGCCCAGCCATTCCCTCCCAACACCTTTAGTGAAAGCTCCCTTCAGAGGCACCACAGCAATCCTCACCTGCTGAGAACCTTAATAATTTCAGTGCTCTGAAGTTACCTGGGACCTCTCAGCTTCCACTGCACTGAAACTTCACATGAGAGCAGATATTTCAAACCGTTTTTGTTTAGCATCAACTATCCTCCTTTCCCAAATCATTTTCGCCCTCTTCCCTGTCAATTCCTTAAAGCTGTATAGTCACGATTTGAAAGCATGCTCTAAGGCCCCATCTGCACAATCTGAACGCATGCTCTAAGGGTTTGGAACCGCTAGCCTCTCAAATCCTTTCTGTTTTAGCTGTTTACTCACCTTCTGGCTTATTGCTTAGGCCTTCTCATCCTTCCACTACAGAAGTCCTTCTCAGTCTGTCCTATAAATATCCTGACACCCCCAGGTTATTATAAAGCTTCTTTATATCCTATCTCCTCATCTTCTTCAGACTTAACTCTAATCACCTTTTCTATGAACACTGTTCATTCTCCTTTCCTCAGAGATAATGATGCTATCTAAAAGCTCCACGTTGCTACTCCCAGACCATTTCTCCTCTACTTTGCACTTTATATAAAAGCTACTTCTTTTGATACTCATGCCACTAGTGGTTTTCAATCTGTACTAACTACAATCCTCTTCAAAGATAATCCTCCTCTTATGGTTTTGATACCACAGTCATCTGTTGAATATTTGCTCTTTCAAGTATTATTTCTTTTCCTTATGTTTTAAATCTCTCCTTAAACACACATAGAAAAGTACATATATACACAGACAACCAACCTTGGCTCTATTCTTTTAACTATTTTACTACCCTTTTCTCTTCATGTCAAAGGTTCCTAAAATAAGCTACACATCTTCACTACTTCACTGGTGCCTCAAATGTGCTGGTACTGAACTGACATGTGACAGAGTCAGAAGATACCCCATTTCACACATATCAGTAACACCTGGTCCTCATCTCAGGTAAAGTCTGAACAAACACCACTCCTGGGTTTCCATGACCACACTCACTCTGGCTTCTCCTTCTACCTCTGGGTTTCTGAGAGGCCTCTCTTTCTTCCCTGAGCCTCCACGACGCTCTCCAAAACTAGGTCAATCTCTTCTAACTCTACATATGTTCCCAGTGCAATCACATGTACAGACAAGGTTTAACCTACTACTACCTATGTGCTCCACCCTCAACCACTCTCTACCCCCAGAACATCTCCACCAGCACCTCAGAGTGAAATATTCCAAACCCAACACATCCAGCCACCTTGTCCTCAAAGTTTTTCTGCTTCTGGGGGTGCATACCTAGTATCAATTCCTCCAAACGGGAAGACTTAAGAGTCATCTTGGACCTATATTCATTTAGTAGCTCACCACATTTTGTAAATTCCACTATTTGCATACTTTTCACATATTTTATTTCCTCTCTACCTCTAGTGTCATTTTAGTGTAGGTGCCAAGAACTTCTCCAATTTCACAACTACCTCACAACTGATCTCTGCTGTCTCCTCTTCTGGTACATCTGCCACATGACCACTAAATTTCTTCTGAAAGTCCAGACCCCATCAGGTTACTTACTCCTGTTTAAAATCCTTCAATGGCATGCCACTGCCTGCAGGATGAAGTCTAAAACCCTTAGCATGCCATAAAGACCTTCTGGGATGTGGCCTCTGCTAACCTTCCAAGCTTCATCTGCACTCTTTCCTCACATTCTCCTACCCATCAGCTCTGTTCTTGCACTTGCCAGTCCTACATGCTTCCTTCCTTTGCCTGTAAGGTGTTCCCCTCACCCATCAAACCTAACAGATATCTGTTCACCCTGATATTGCTCAGCTTCAACATATTTCCTTTCTACGCCTTCCCAGACGCCCCACGACATTCCTTCCGTTCTGCTCTTATGCACATCTCTACCATGCTATTCATGTTGGTATTTTTCTCCTATTGGACTGCAAGTTCCCCAAAGGGAGAAATTTTGTCTTTTTGTTGTTACTGTTGGATAGGTGTCTATTACTAGCACCTATTACAATGCTCAGCACAAATCAGTTTTAAAAGATTTACCAAGTGGATCATCATGCATTACAGGTCCCATTCTTTCCTACTTCCATGCCTTCAAATTTAAGATAGAACACCATGAGCTCCCTCTATATAAATAGCAATGAATTAAGGTGGGGTGAGGGGAAAGTTAATCTGTCCTGTTAGAGAAAAAAATATCCTAGATTCTTACTGGGGAATGGTAATACTTGACCTTTGATTTAAATGCAGACAGGGAATTACAGTTCAGGAAGCTGCAGTTTGTCATTCAACAAAGCTACTAAACAACAGGGCCATAAAGTAAACCAGTGAAGTCAGTAAATAGGATGCCTTTGAATAAAAGTGTATTTTATTAAAACTTACGGGGAAAGTAAAATTTAAAAGTTAGGGTTTAGCCTAGGTATTACTAGAGTCCAGTGCTGGCAACTGATCCTATTTTTAGGCAAATTTCCCAAGATGAAACAAAGAGAACTGATTACACAATTTCATCTCTAAAAATTACAGTAAGTAAGCACACTTACCAATACAAATAAATAATTTTAGATTATAAATTTTAGGGAACCCGGAGCCCTCATTACAGAGTGTAAAATTCTTAAATGTGGCTACTCAAATAAAACTTATGTTAAAACAATAATCATTTATACATAATTCCTAAAAATAGAATTACTGTAGAGCCAGATATTCTATAACTAATCAGAGTTCAGCGCCAAGAAAAGTTGAATTACTGACTCACAATGCAGTCATTTTCATTATATTTTTTTAAAATAAAGGTAGCATTTGTTTACTAAACACAAGGAGTTTAAAACTGAGTTTTCCTAGTGTCCTCTGCCAAGAAGGTCAGTACATCCTACCTAGACCCTTCATGTTTATGTTTCCTACTCTTCCACACCAGGTATTGCAGTGTTCTCACGGCAGCCATTACTCTGAGGCTTCATGTTCTTAAAAGCCCTCCCTAAAAAGTGTTAACTGGAGCTGTGCACGGCATTAATATTCCTCCTTTCTTCAAGAGAATTCTCCAGGTCATATCTATCCAGAATGACTTCTCCCCTTAGGACCAAGATGTGAAGGTAGGAGAAATATCTTTTGATACCTGATAATACAATTTTAATGCTCCACTTAGCATTATGGTATTGGACCAATCTGTATAATTTTCTTTAAAGTTCGCTTGCCTATTTATTTATTTATTTATTTATTGACAGAGGGAAAGGGAAGGAGGGAGATAGGGAGAAAAACATCAATGTGTGGTTGCCTCTCATGCGCCCCCTCTGGGGGCCTGTCCGGCAACTCAGGCGTGTGCCCTGACTGGGAGTCAACCCAGCAACCTCCCGGTTCACAGGCTGGTGCTCAGTCCACTGAGCCACACCAGCCAGGGCCAAACTGTACAATTTTCATAGTTCCAACTATGAGATTCCTTATATTATTTGGTAACATAATATAAATTCCAGAAAATTACATTTAACACTGAACACAAAAATTGAATTTAGCAATTCTATACATGATACTTTAATAATTTTAACTGTTTGGAAGAATTCACTTAAGAATTCTTGGAAAAGTGATCATCATATATAAGCAGGGATTACTAGTAATTTAAAAATGTTAAAATGTAATAGTATCCAAATTAGTTAACAGCAACAACAACAAAAAACCCAGTGAAATTCTTATCAAAATGATTATTATGAAATGTTACTCACCATCCCCAGCAGGAAGTCCTCTCTCCTTTTTTTCATCACATTTGTTGCATTCACTGAAGTAAAGCAGCAGGAACATATCCAAGAGTACCCAAATCAAGGAGGTGGCTAGGACCACCTTGCAATATGCAAATTTTCTCATGGCACTTTAAGTCAAATGCGAAATTTTAAAATATATATATATATATAAATATACAAAGATCATGAAAATATTTCCAATCCAGTTTCATCAGAAATCACATTCATAACCTATAGAGAGAAAAAGAAAAAAAAACTAACTTAAAAATTCAGAATGCAGAAAATGAATTGTAAGAGCAATATGCATATGAAATTTTACTATGGAGTATAAGTTTATAAATCAGACTTAGAAAAATAATTGTAAAATACATAAAAATTAATAATATCAAGAATATACAAATAACACCTACAAATCAATATACAACAACCCAACCGGAAAATAAATAAAGGATGTAATAGCCACTTGGCAGAAAATAAACCTGACTAGCCAATAAATATGTACAAAAGTACTCAATTCACTATAATTAGGAAAATACAAATTAAAACAACAGTGAGCTACTATCTCATATCCACCAAACACATGAGACTTAACTGCTTTGTATTCAATTACTATATCAAATGCTAAGGCAAAGCTAAGCCATTGATTGCCACAGGAGTTTAAGAAACCAGTGATTCCCAGTCCCTTTCAACTGTTCACATTCAGTTCCCAAGACCCAAATCTTTTTTTTAAGATTTTATTTATTTATTTTTAGGGAGGGGAAAGGAGGGAGAAGGATAGGGAGAGAAACATCAATGTGTGGTTGCCTCTTGCACACCCCCTACTGGAGACCCGGCCTGCAACCCAGGCATGTGCCCTAGACTGAGAATCGACCCACAGACCCTTTGGTTTGCAGGCCAACACTCAATCCACTGAGACACACCAGCCAGGGCCCAAGGCCCAAAGAGTAATATGAATTCTCCTAGGTGCCTGTATTTTAGCAGTTTGTTGGACTAATTCTTGTCCCTCTGTCTCACTGAATCCCATTCCAAAAATGCTACAGTCACCAGCCATTGAGAAACAGACTCATGGAAATTATATTGGAAATAAAAAGGGTATGATATGATCTGAGACCTACTGTTGGCTCTGAAAGTAATTTTATAGACCTCCCTGATCTTTAGTTTCTACTTCCTACTCACACCCCAAACCCCCATCTGATAAAATAAGAGAAAATGACTTGAACTATCACAAGATTTGGAAAGTCATTTGGCATAATTTGACTAGAAACATTTGTGGTACATGAGGAGTTTATCTTGGGGGGCTCTGGAGCAGTCTGGGAGTCCTCAGAGAGGTATGGCATCATCCACTGAGCAGCTGATACCAAGGCTCAAAGGTTTGTGTTACTGCTGACTGGGAGACTGGTCAAGTGCATTCAGAGGAGGTGTGCATTCAGAGGAGGTGTGCATTCAGAGGAGGTGTGCATTCAGAGGAGGTGTGCATTCAGAGGAGGTGGACAGAGGAAACACACACTTTGCACATATGACCAACATAAAAGCCACACAAGCACATGCTCTGAAGGACCTTGCTAATAATGTTTAATGCTGCAGCCCCTTACAAGGACAACTTTATGCAGCATGTTCCATGGCAGGCAGCACAGATGTATTTACCTGAACAATTCAAGACAGGCCAGAGAATTTATCTACGAAAAAGACAAAGTGGAGAAAATGGAACCCTCATGCACTGTTGGTATGATTGCAAATTGGCACAACCGCTATGGAAAATAGTGTGGAGGTTCCTCAAAAAATTAAAAATGGAACTGCCTTATGACCTAGCACTTCCACTTCTGGGTACACATTCGGAGAAACCCAAAACACTAAATCGGAAACAGATATGCACCCCTATGTTTACTGCGTTATTTACATGAGCCACGACATGAAAGCAACCCAAGTACCCATCAGCAGACAAATGGGTAAGAAAGTTGTGGTACATATATACAATGGAATACTACTCGGCCATTAAAAAAAATGAAATGTTACCATTTGTAAGAGCAGGAATGGACCCAGAGGGTATTATGCTAAGTGAAATAAGTCAGACAGGAAAAGACAAATAACATGATTTCACTTAAATGCAGAATCTAAAGAACAAAAGAAACGAACAAAACAGAAACAGACTCACAGATACAGAAAACAAACTGATGGTTGCCAGAGGGGAAGGGGTTGGAGGTGAGGTGAAAAGGGTGAAAAGATTAAGTACAAATTGGTGGTTACAAAATAGTCATGGGATGTAAAATATGGTGTAGAGAATATAGTTAGTAATAGTGTAATAACTAAATATGGTGCCAGGTGGGTACTTAAAATATCAGTGGGATCACTTTGTAAATTATGATTATCTAACCACACACACATAAAAAAGATATAATAGTTATTGCCTACATCTTAAGGTAGCTATACAGCAATGTGAAAAGCACCCCAAAAAATACTAAGGGAGCCCTGGCCGGGTTGCTCCGTTGGTTGGAGTATTGTCATGCACCAAAAGAGTTAGGAGTTTGATTCCCGATCCCAGGTCAGAGCAAGTATCAAGAGACAACCGATCAATGTTTCTCTCTCACATGGATGTTTATCTTTCTGAAATTAATGAACATGCCCTCAGGTGAGGATTAAAAAAAGAAATACTAAGGGATACTTAAAATCTAAAGATTATTTATGCTCATCTCTCTAGGGACTTTCCTCTCTTGCCTATATTCCTCTTTTCATCAAACTTTATTTCCTGACTATACTCCCATGCTAGTAGGGATGCTACTATCATATTTCTGCCCCAAAATCAAACTTACTCAACTTCTGATATTGTGTCGCATGCAATGAGCAACTACTGATAATTATGGTAACTGGGGTAAAGGTAGACTCAAAATTGTTAGAGTGCACAGTATCACAGAACAACAGTTCTCTCCAGAGAAGCTAGATATGTATAAATTTATATTCTGAGCTACTTCATATGAAAAGTTCCTCTTACTCACTGGTAAAACAAACAGACTGATTGCAGTGCAGTATCTGGGATTCAAACGTGGCTTTATCTTCTCTAAAATCTGCTACATGCTTTTTTCTTTTAAATGCTTACAGTCCAGAATACTTAAATGTAAATCTTTATACATTGCATTCACTCTTATTTTTTCAAGATTCTAAAGTTGAGGGGGAAATGCAGTGGGGGTGTGTGTGTTTGAGAGGAGGGGGATTTGGAGGAAGCAGGAGGTATACATGAAAAAGTAAAGGAGATAGCAAAAATCTTAAGAGACCTTAGGTTAGGCAAAGATTCCTTAGATAGAAAAAACCCCCACAAATTCAAAAAGATTGATTACCAGCCTTTAAAATTAAAAGCTTCTGCTCTTCAAAGACACTTATGAATATAAAAAGTCACAGATTGAAAGAAAATATTTAAAAATTACGTATCTAATAAAGGACATATCTAAAATACATAAAGAACTTCCAAAAAAAAATTATTCCAATAAAGTGGGCAAGGTTGGAACCAAAAGAGCAATGCAAATGAGCCCATGAAATGTTCAAAATCATTAACTATTAAAAACTGCAAATTAAAGCTACAGTGAAACAGTACCATCCACTGATATAAATATCTAAAAGAAAAAAGGAAAATATCAAGTGGTGAGAAGGAACTGGTACAATTGGAACTCTACTACCTTGCCAGTGGGAATGCAGAATGCTACAGCTGATCTGAAAAACAGTTTGGCAGTTTCCTCCCCTACAAATCAGCAATCCTATTCCTAGTTTTTATTGAAAAGAAAGAAAAACATGTGCCTACACAAAGACCTACACAAATCTTTGTAGCAGCTTAATCATAATCTTTACTATCTAGAAATATTCCAAATGCCCATCACTTGATGAATGTATAAAAAAAAATGTGGTGCATCTATAGAGTGAAATACTACTCAGCAAACCAGCAATAAAAAAACAAATTCTTGATCGGCATGCAATAATATGGATGAATCTCAAAAGCATTCTCTCAAAAGTGAAAGTAGTCAGTCACAAAGGGCTGCCTACCATATTATATGACTCCATTTACATGACGTTCTGGCAAAGACAAAGCTATGGAAACATAAATCAGATTAGTAGTTACCTGGGGCTGGAGATAAAGTAGGGGACTGTACTCAAAGAGGCGTGAATGAATTTGTGATAATGAAAACATTCCATATCTTGTTTGTGGTGGTATGACTATATCCATTTGTCCAAACTTAGAAAACTATACCTAAAAAGCTGAATTTTACAGTATATAAATTCAACCTTAATATACTAAAAAACAGATAAATATGGGGGTGGAGAATAATTGTTGTATATTTTCTCAAATGATGCGTTACGTAGTTTATCTTGGAAGTCACTAAAAGTTTTGTTTTGTCGCAACCACAACAGATTAAAACCTTCCATTTGAAATGCATTTAACTGTTTATTTTAAAAGTTATAAAAGAATTAATGTCAAAATTCAGTGACCAATCAAATCAGTAAACTTCTGATCCTACTTAGATGTGATATGCCAAGTTTTTCCAAATATTGGTCAGCATTTTCTAGCACTAAATAATTATCTTCTATTCTTCATACTTCCAGTTAAAGCTCTCTGTAAATATCAAGCCTAGGAAGAATCTCAGCTCAGTAGAACCATTAGGAGAAAATGAAAGCTTCATTCTCCTGGACCTAAAGCTTTAGACTTTAGGGTATATTGAGGAGCTCATCTCCCCTCTCCTAAGAACACAGTACTCTGGAGGTTTCCAGTCTCAATGGCCAATAGATACACATGGTACTCCATCATCCCATAACCACATCAAAATGACAACTAAACTACAGAACCATCATTCAGAACCACCTGAAATCTTGTTGAATAGAAGTACTATAACTAAGAATACAAAGCAGCAGCAGTCACACAAATACTGGTAGGAGGGGTGGAGACATGAAACGAACTGGTCCCATGCCCACGTGTGGTGGATAAAAATCCGAAGAGGTATCCTGGCTGCAAGGACCCACCCTGAGGAACAAGGGGTCCTAGTCTAACATCATGCCCCCCAGGCCAGGGTTCCAGTGCCAGGAGAAGTCCCCATGACTTCTGGCTGTGAAAATCAGTGGGGATTACAGCTGAGCGAGGAGGAGAACTTCTGGAGTGCCAGGCATTCTTCTGGAGGGCCCATGCATGGGTTTAGATGCACTCATTCTGAGCCCCTGTGCTGGGGCAGCAGCTCGAAAGATGAGAGGAACATATG